TATACCAAAACAGGAGGTCATTTCTGTCTCCCTCAGCTCTTGCATTGTGCTGTGTTGGGTGGGTGTACACTGCGCCTCTTCTGAGGGGATTTCAATCATTGATCTGGCAGCAAAACAGCTGGGGAATTAAAGTCCTGCAAGCCCCTAGCTGATCTGCTGATCAGCTGGTGAATTGGATTGATTGAGGAAGACTCTCATGGGTGCCACAGCTGATGGAAGAAGAGAGGAACAAAGTAGAGGAGCCAAATTCTTCTCTTTTGGTGTGCTTGGCCCTTGTGGGCTGAGTTCAGGCACCTGAGAACTGGCCTAGACCTTTGGTTTCCATTGTTATTTTATTGTGCTGCAGTAGCGCAACTGTGAGATGGAGAGAGTAATTTTGTTGGATGCACTCTGTTTTGTTTGTAATTTCACAAGGTATTTCGGAATTGGTTTAGCTACCTATCATTTCCTTATTGGTGATACAGGGAGGAGAGAGTTGTCAGGTGACGTGTCTGCAGAGGGAAAAAAATGGTGAACCAGGCATAAGCATGCGTAAACACATAAGTAGAAGTAGAGGGGTATTGGTATGGTACAGAAGGTCCTCTTGGTTTGTTTTAATCAACCTTCACATTTAACCCCTTAGAACATTTTTGTTGTTGTTGGTTGAAATATTCAGCTATGTCCTGGTGCCAGAAAGTCGAGACTGAGTTTTCAAATGGCAAAATCAGTTCAGATACTCCAGGAAGCACTCCTTGCTTTTCTTCTGAACAAACATGATTTGTTGTCTTTGCCTCTTGTTGTTTGCTTTCTCTGAACAACTACACCTGAAGTAATTTGAGCTTGGATGGAGTCTGGTTTAAGAGCAAAATATCAGGGTGTGTCTTGTTTATGTGATAGGAAGGAAAATGAGGAATAGAAACTATCTGACTGCAGCATTTGTCACTGAAAACTGTAATGATACTCTTGCTAAAGATTCTTCTTGGGAAATGCTTTTTGCTTAAGCTTTGAGATGTATTTTTTTGTGACAGTTGGAAGCTTTTAATGTGCCATTCTAACATTGCAGTCATTCAGGCTAGAGAGGGCAAAGAGAGAGGGAAAACAGCCAGTACATTAAGGAATGTATCGGCCCAATGCGACACAGTGCTGAAAAGCACAGGATGTCTCTGAAGAAATACATCCTAGTAGATGAACATCTCCATTTCCTTACCATTGTAGCTGCACAGGTTGATGCTTGCAGTGGTGCAGTGGGAAGACACCACTTGACTGATTTTGGTCCTAGGGATCTCTGTTTTATGCCGTGGATTAACAGGATTAGGATTTTCCGTGAAGTAAACAAAGCAACAGGGAGGAACAACCAAGTTGCATGGAAATTAAATCTACGGTGAATGCAGTTGTGGTGCATCTTTTCTGTCCAGTCAAACATCTAGGAAAATTTGACATTTTTTTTTGTAACTGATCTTAGGGCTTGTGTGGGATTTTTAACAGATCTGGCCTAGCCCCATTGCTCTTTGAGTCTTTACAGTAATTTGGTAGCTACTAGCAGAGGTAGTGAAGAGACTATCGCCAGACAGAGCATCTCATAAGTATATTTGCGTGCAGTTTTGTCCTTTATGTATGTGTGAACAGTTGGGAAGAGCTACTTGATGAAGAAGACGAGATACTTTGTGTGCAAGGAGTAAGTATTTGCCATTGCTATACTCTAAAGGAAATAATTCATTTGTAAAAGTAACTGAAATACTTGAAACGTATTTAAATGTTAACCTAGGTGAGACGGTCAGTGTGAGAAAGAGACTTTATAGGGTTATTTCTTTAGTTACTAACTATTGGATTTTTACTTTTTCAGTTTTGGGTGAGGATTGTCAGGCATATATTGATCATCATGGCAAGGCACAACCTGCAAAATCCTGTTCTTCCTTCTGTTGTGGAAATTGCATGCTTCGATACTGTTGCTCTTATGTGTTCTTAAAATTTGAAGAAGAACGACAATTTCAGTGTGATCTGCTTCATGGAAGGTATGAAGCAAACTGAATGTATACAGCAGGTCATAATTCTGTCATCAAATGAAAAATTAAATTCATTATCCTCATCATCATTAAAAACTTAGAAAGCACCTTTGGGCTCTATATCTGTCTCTGTCATGCATCTCCGTTAATGCATGTAATACCTGTAAAATGGGAACAATGAGGTGGACAAATTGATGCTTGAACTGGTGTGTCTTTTCTTGAGCTTTTTCAAATACTTTTACCCTATTTAATTTTTCTTTGAGGATGACAACATTAATCTCTTCTTTTAGTGTCTGTTACCTTTCATAAGCATTTGGAACTGAACCAGGTACTTGAATAAGTCGTAAATTCTATTTTTGATGTGAATTCTCTTAATACAGGGCCTCTGACTCAAGCAACGTAAATTATATGCAGTTTTTTTCGGACTCTGATGATTACAGGACCTCTGACTTGAGCAATGTGAATAACATGCAGGTTTTTTCAGACCCTGATGATTACATTTCTTCTGCCCCCAGGTAAGCCACGCAAAGTCTCAGCTTTTAAAGTGATATTTATTTAGAGGTTCTTCATTGTGAAATCAATACACACCAGTAGAATAGGGAAATAGAAGTACTTCTTTGTGGGTGAAGAATGTGCAGCACTCAGACTCCGTGTATGTGTCGGAATATCTGAAGAAGCAGAGACATGAGGACGAGGGTAGATAGTGCCGGGTAGACCCTAACGATGGCTGTAGGGAATAGTCCATGTTCTTATTGCTGAAGGGCAGGTTGTGCTCTGAAGCATTAGCACGCTTACTTGGAACCCTTCGATGCTGACAGGCTACGTCCATAGCTGCTGCTTTCGTTTGGAGCATCTGCCTGCTTTTAAGCGTCTTTTCCACTTAGAACACGAAATATTGGTTAAAAAACTGTTTCAATCTCAGGCAAAAAAAATTCTTTTAAGCCTATGCATTGCATTGGCGGTGACCGGAGTCCTGCTGCAGAACGTTTCTGTTTGGTTTTTTTTTTATAGCGTGGAAGACTACAGAGAGACGGCAAGGGTTAATTCTGGGCTGTGAATAATTGATACATCTACATGGGCTTGAATTATTGATCCTTGGAGTGGTGGCGGGGGGGGGACTCGAACCCGCGGACACGGACCCCCTCCACCGCGTTGCCGCGCCTTTAAGGGGGCGGGGCGAGCGGCGTGACGCCAGCGGGGGCGGGGACGGGCGGCGGGCGCGGGGCGAGCG